AAATTCTGTTGGATTAATATTACCAAATCACGAAGTCTTTGAACTAGAAGCATGGGAAAATCATTTATTCCAATCTTTGTTTTACAGATGAGAAAACTAAGTCCAGAGAGTTAGATTTTCCAGGTCCTACACAAAGTTTCAGGTCTGTTTTCCTTCCAGAGTAATGTTAATCTTCTGAATATTGATGTTCTAATTGTCAGGTCTTTCTTGAAGACTGGAACTCATTAACTAACACACCAATAAAGCCACTTAAATAAATAATGCACATTTAACATTGTTCTTCAAACCCCACCCAAGCATGCGACATCTTTTAGAAATAACTAAGGACGGCGGTTCAGATTGTCTTTTGCACAAACATTCTACTCTCCCAAGGATGTTCCTTCCCTCTGGACTACTGATTGATAACCCTTTACATCTGTTTTTATCTTGAAGCCATCACCTCTACCCTCAGAAGAATATCAAGAGCACCACTTTGTTAGGTCTCTTCCACTCAGGGAGGTCCCTGGGGAGTAGTAAAACTAGATTGACAAAGTTCCCAGGCCTGGAGGGAGAAGGTGTGGCTTTGCCAGATGATGCCAAATAAAAGCTGAATTGTTATCTGAACCTTTGATGGGAACCAAGTACAAAGATAGACCTATCCCGGTGATAACTACGAGCGTTTTGTCTTCCGAATGCCTGCTGCTTCTTTGCTGATCTTTTACCTTTTCTTGAATGAAGTCGCACCCAGCTTCATTTTAATCTGATTTAACCTACAGGAAATATTTAAGGGGTAAGAGAAAAAAGTAGGAAGTCATGAATTTGGGGGTCTGTTCTCATATTTTTCCCTTCCCTTGTCCTCCCTCCTCTTGGGTTTATGTCTAACGTGAGAACATTTCCCCAAATCTGCCAGTGTTCAGGGGTCTACTTTCATGGCCAGGCACAGTGGCTCACATCTGTAATCCCAATACTTTGGGAGGCTGAGGCAGGTGAATCACTTAAGATCAGGAGTTTGAGACCAGCCTGGCCAGCACAGTGAAACCTCGTCTCTACAAAAAATGCAAAAAAAAAAAAAAAGCCAAGCATGATGACACGCACCTATAGTCCCAGCTACTCGGGAGGTTGAGGCAATCAAATTGCTTGAACTCAGGAGATGGAGTTTGCAGTGAGCCAAGATCACACCACTGCACTCCTGCCTGGATGATAGCGTGAGATTCCATCTCAAAAAGAAAAAAAAAGGGTCTCCATTCCACTTCATATCTACATAAATAACAAGAGCTCTCCTTTGATGGGATCCCACTGCAGAGGGATATCCACCATCTCTACAATATTCCTTAAGATATTGATTCCAGCTCCAAATTTTGAGGCCAGGTTTAGGTGTCAGTCCCATCATCTCACACACTGAAGCTCCTGTCCTCTCTACATAGCCCAGGTGAAGACAGAGCTCCAGCTCCTCCCCTATTTCCCAGCACATCACTGACTCAACTGAATTATATCTACTTTTAATAAAGGTATAGGGAGATTGCGGCACTGGACAAAATGAGAAATAACATTAAAAGGAATATTTAGACATCATTTTTCTTTCCATGTTCGTCAGTTACCACCACGACAGGGAATTTCTCATCAGTCATTCGTCTTCTTTGGCCTCTGTCTGGTAAAATTTGCTGGGTCCCAGCAAATTGGCGAGAACCTTCTGTCCCAATACCTGCCTCTGCTCTGGTCCCCACTTCTAGACCCATTGAACCTATTACCCTTTCCAGATGCCATATTAGAGCCCCCCAGCTTCTCCTACTTCATCAAGCAGCATAGCTTATTTCACATTTATGTTATTCTCAACTCCAGACTCAATTGTAAGGCCTACTTTTATATAACTAAGAAGCCTTTCCAATGAAATGTGTTAAACAGAAAGTCACATATCCTTTCAATTAATTATGACATGCCTATGTGACACAGGAGCAGCATGCCTTTCTTTTATAATAGTAACTATTTTCTCCCAATGTGAAAACGTAGAGCTCTGTGTGTCTAAGTTAAACAAAATCATTCTAAGGTGATTTCCCAGTGAAAATACCTTGAATTCAAGCTTTATATTTCAGCCCAGGAATGACCAAACCAATCCCCACTGTGGTCTAATTACAACTGTGCCTCCCAATTAGCCTTGCATGGTGGATCACAGTACAAAGCAGATGCCTTAGATAATTTTAAAAGCCAATATTTTGACTTAAAACTTGCCGTCATTTCAAAAGTTTTGAGGTAGTTTATCAGAAGCCTGGAATAAAACCTTTAAGATAAGGTGGCAGGCCAGGCATGGTGGCTCACGCCTGTAATCCCAGCACTTTGGGAGGCCAAGGCGGGTGAATCACAAGGTCAAGAGATCGAGACCATCCTGGTCAACATGGTGAAACCCCGTCTCTACTTAAAATACAAAAAATTAGCTGGGCATGGTGGTGCGTGCCTGTAATCCCACCTACTCGGGAGGCTGAGGAGGGGGAATTGCTTGAACCCGGGAGGTGGAGGTTGCAGTGAGCCGAGATCACACCATTGCACTCCAGCCTGGGTAACAAGAGCGAAACTCCGTCTTAAAAAAAAAAAAGATAAGGTGGCATCTCCTTGAGCCAAGGCCTACAGTGGCAGAATAGTGCACTGTGACTGGTATAAAGCAGGCAACAGTAGCTGCCTCTAGGAGACAGGCCCCTGGCACGAGGGACATCACTGGATGGGAGTGGGCAATCCCTATCAAGAAGTGGCCTAAAAAACAGTTATGTGCGTTCAAAGGTGTCCATCATAGCCAAGGACAGCTCCAGGTCTTCTCAGTTACCCACAGCAATAATCTAAGGAAATCTGTGCTCGATGACAGCCACCCAACTCCCAGGCATTTAACGTCATAGCGAACCACCAGACAAGTGTATTCCAAGTGCATTTTCACCTCCAGGACTTCTTGGTGCTAAGAGAATGATCTGCCTGTTCAGCTTATGTCTTTTATGAACAGGCTCTAAAGCAACCACATTGCAGGCACGTAGAAACCAAATAAAGGAATATTGTGAGCGGCATCTTTAAATGAGTTCAAATGGTGATATTTAAATGCACATATGCATTGACACTTGGGTGTCTTATCTTTCCTCGAGTTGTTGGTTAGTTTGTCTTCTCTATCCTAGGCAAAGGCCTATCACAGATTAAGATTGTGTTCACATCAATGGAATGGTCTACTGGATGGGAATCTGCTCTGACCATCAGAATAATCTCTGGAATGCAGTTTTCCTTGAATTTGTTTACAGGTCAAGTGCATGCTGTTTAGTTACATAAATTATTTCAATCCAGTAGTCTCCCTTTATTCACAGAGAATACATTCCAAGACCCAAGTGGATGCCTCAAACCACATATGGCACCAAAACCTATTTATGTGCTGTAAAGTCTGCAATATAACAGAAAAACTAGCACATATTTCTTTTTTCCTTCTCACAGTTTCACAGATAGATTTATTCTTACCTTAGATCTTAGCAACTCCAGCACTCCATTATTTTTCTTTCCTTATTAAGTCAAGAACTTTCACTGTTTTACTTAAAGGAAGCACTTTATGGCTTCTCTTTGGCATATCTAAGTTGTTAGGATAATTACTCATGCTTCTTGGAGCATTATTTAGTAAAATAAAGGTGACTTGGCCACAAGCATTGCAATGTACCACCTCAGTTGAACTGATAACTAAGATGGCCCTTAGGTGACCAGCAGGTGGGTGAACTATCCAGCACGGCAATGCTGGACAAAGGGAAGATTTGCGTTCTGGGCAGGATGAGAGTCTATCGCACACCACAGAATGACACAAAATTTAAAATTTATGAGTTTTTATTTCTGAAATTTTCTATTTAATATTTTCAGATCCTAGTTAACCGGGACTGCGGTGAGAGTATCTGTGGATAAGGGAGGGCTATGGTAACACTTTCTTCATAGAAAAGTCAATTCATAGTTTATTTAATTTTCCAAAAGGCAGATTCATCATGAAAGAAAGTTTTAACTCAAATAACTAAGTCAGTTATTCATTTTATTCTCTGTGATTTAAATTTAGATTTAAATCAGGCATGAATATCTGCACAATAGCCAGTGTTTGACAACAGCTGATTTTCTAAATTAAAAATTTCTTAGAACATCATTTCTAATAGCAAAGAAAGAGAATATTTACCTTTCCTTCCCATTTAAAAAAATTTATTCCTCCCCGTAGCTAATGGTTGATAAAGCCAGAAATCAATTCTAGCATCTTTGCCACGCTATACTGAGTATCTTCCATCCATTCATTTGTTTATTCTGTGAACGTTGTCAGATTCAAAATGGAGTCACAAATTCTAAGAAAACCCTGACAAAAAGCCAGGAAAAGGAGGTTGTCACATTTCCATGCCTGACAACAAAAAAGGTTATACAATAACCACAACCTTGCACAAAGACCATCACAACATTACACAAAAACATGCCTCTGCAAAGACATCTTCCCACCGTCTGTCCAGTCTGAGACTGCTGTTACCTTAATTATTAATCTCTGTAACCAAAGGTAATTATTTCAAAACTGTTATGTAGTCCTTCTCATTAAAAAGAAAAAAAAAAAACCTTTTATACCTGAGTTTACACAAAGTTCACTATGGCATACATATTTTCACCGCAATGCTCTATTCCCAAATAAATTTCTTTTAGCCTCTCTCTGTTTTTTATTTAGGTTGATAATCTACACCTTTAATATCTATTGAGACTCGAGTACAAACAGGGTTAACAAGGTAGTCGTTCTACTGCAACTGGGTAGAACGACTTACTTTTGCAGTGATGGTCACAAGACTGCTTCTTCCAGACTCAAATGATCAATTCTCTGGTACAAGTATAAGCTCTAATCACAGTGATAGAACTAGGGTTAGTTATTCCATCAGAACCAGGAAAACAAGAGAATGAAGGAGGAAAAATATTGCTGCTTGTACCAATCTTACTAATATAAGTCAATAATTAAATGTATAAGCATCAAAATAACTTCCCAATGTTTTCACCTCACCTCCTGCTGAAAACCTGAAGGATGAACTTTTTGCTGGTTGTTTTTAGGCAAGTGGAAACAATCAAGACAGCAAACTTACAAAGCAATGTATTTGTCATTGTGCTTCATGGAACTCGGCGTTTATGGAATATTGCTCTAGAGAGGACATAGGAACCAGAGACAGAAAGGACCCAGCATTAAAGTGATAAAAGCTACCATGTTAGCAGATGATATTTTTTATGCTTCAGTTTATGAAGTAAAATGACAATTTTTTGAAACATATCAAACACACGATATAAACACATGAGCAAAATTGCACAGCTTAACTAATCCATGTAATTTATAAACTAGGCTGGGCGTAGTGGCTCACGCCTATAATCTACCACTTTGGGAGGCCAAGGTGGGTGGATCACGAGGTCAAGAGATCGAGACCATCCTGGTCAACATGGTGAAACCCCAACTCTACTAAAAATACAAAAATTAGCTGGTCATGGTAGTGTGTGCCTGTAGTCCCAGCTACTCAGGAGGCTGAGGCAGGAGAATTGCCTGAACCCAGAAGGCGGAGGCTGTGGTGAGCCGAGATCGCACCATTGCACTCCAGCCTGGGTAACAAGAGCAAAATTCCATCCCAAAAAAAAAAAAATTATAAACTAGTACTCATTGTTTATGCATTTGTATGAAACGAAATTTAGTGCTACTGTTGCTGGATGGCTTTAATCTGTAATTGCATTTACACAAGGATTTGTGGTACAAGCATCATGGTTAAGTAAAGTTCTGCTTGAATTAATATTCAAGACCTCAAGGTTGGGTTGTTATAATAACCTCCTGATTGTCTTCCAGCCTTTCCATTACAACAGATGCTCAGACCGCTGCCTGACTCATCTAACTCAAACACTGCTTGCTCTAAAGTACACCCATTGAATGGCTCCCCATTGTCTAATAAATAAAATAAGAAGTCCTTATTCTGACATTTGAGGTTCTCCACAATACGGCATCGAACTCACTCTCTATTTGGCATGCGAGCCTTCACAGCACAGGGTTTCTCATTGCTCCCCACATCACACCGCTGATTCCTTTCTCCATAATCTTGTTCATGCTGTGGTTCTCCAGAGGTAATCATGCCAAGGGGTCCTGGAAAAACAGAATCTCTCAACAAAACTTCCCTGATCTTTTCTTGCCACGGTGTTTTTTATTTCTGAATTTTTATAGCAGTATTTCTCAGTCACAACATTGGTCCAGGTAATTTTGTGTGTGCAATTTTGTGGGGGCTTTTCTGTGCCTTGCAGGATGGTTGGCAGCATTCTTAGCCTCTACCCACTAGATATCAATGGGAGTCACTCCCAAATAGTGATCAACAAAAGTATCTGCAGATATTATTTTCAAAAGTCTCCCAGAGAGGCAAAATTAACCCCAATTGTTCCACAACCTTATTAGATGTATCGCTCATATTTGCATTTTAAAATATTTCATGTGTATGTCTTGCTGCCATGGCTGGGTTGCTTTAGTGCAAGTACTGTATCTTATTTTATTCTTGAAGACCCAAAAAATAATAAAGCATCATAGTGAATTCTTTAAAAATACTAAAATTTTAATTTCGTATCTAAAAATCAGAAGAAATATGAATTACATAATTTGATCTAATCTCAATTATTGTGAAGTATAAACTGAGAACCATAAAAGTAAAGCTTTTTGCCCAAAATGAATGTGTGTCGGTGGGATAGTTCTTTTCCCAGTCAGGTAGTATAAACACCCGTCTACATCACATCTCTTCTTCTCATTCAATTTATAATAAGAGACTTAGTCAACTTCACATCAGCTTAGTAAACAGTAGCCTGTGGTTTTATTGAGGATTCCTTATATTACTCTGCTTTAATAATGCACATATGTTTTAGTAATACCCTTACATTTTTGCATTTAATGAAAAAAAGTTATTCTGAAACCCTGTGGTATAAAACAAGGGACTCTGACCATAGGGCTAAGAGACTAAAGACTTAGCACATACTATTGAAAAAAAGTTATTCTGAAACCCTGTGGTATAAAACAAGGGACTCTGACCATAGGGCTAAGAGACTAAAGACTTAGCACATACTATTGAAAAAAAAGTTATTCTGAAACCCTGTGGTATAAAACAAGGGACTCTGACCATAGGGCTAAGAGACTAAGGACTTTGCACATACTATTGAAAAAAAGTTATTCTGAAACCCTGTGGTATAAAACAAGGGACTCTGACCATAGGGCTAAGAGACTAAAGACTTAGCACATACTATTGAAAAAAAAAGTTATTCTGAAACCCTGTGGTATAAAACAAGGGACTCTGACCATAGGGCTAAGAGACTAAGGACTTTGCACATACTATTGAAAAAAAAGTTATTCTGAAACCCTGTGGTATAAAACAAGGGACTCTGACCATAGGGCTAAGAGACTAAAGACTTAGCACATACTATTGAAAAAAAAGTTATTCTGAAACCCTGTGGTATAAAACAAGGGACTCTGACCATAGGGCTAAGAGACTAAAGACTTAGCACATACTATTGAAAAAAAAGTTATTCTGAAACCCTGTGGTATAAAACAAGGGACTCTGACCATAGGGCTAAGAGACTAAGGACTTTGCACATACTAATGAAAAAGTTATTCTGAAATCCTGTGCTATAAAACAAGGGACTCTGACCGTAGGGCTAAGAGACTAAAGACTTAGCACATACTATTGAAAAAAAAGTTATTCTGAAACCCTGTGGTATAAAACAAGGGACTCTGACCATAGGGCTAAGAGACTAAGGACTTAGCACATACTATTGAAAAAAAAGTTATTCTGAAACCCTGTGGTATAAAACAAGGGACTCTGACCATAGGGCTAAGAGACTAAGGACTTTGCACATACTAATGAAAAAAGTTATTCTGAAATCCTGTGCTATAAAACAAGGGACTCTGACCGTAGGGCTAAGAGACTAAAGACTTAGCACATACTATTGAAAAAAAAGTTATTCTGAAACCCTGTGGTATAAAACAAGGGACTCTGACCATAGGGCTAAGAGACTAAGGACTTAGCACATACCACTGTGTGTTCAGCCACTTAACTTCATGGAATCTCCTCATCTCACTTTTAAAATACTCACTCCACTAAAAGCAATAAACTCCCTGACGGAGGCAATATTGTCTTGTAGCTTCCACATCCCTTGTGCCTGGCACAAAGGAGGGCATTTAACAGATATTTGCTGACTGTTCAACTGGGGACCTAAGTGCCAATTTTAACTTAGTTTGAGAATAAAATGAGGTAATTTTTTACACCCCAAAAGTGTGAAGTTTTAGACAAATGCAAGGTACTGTGTGCCATAAAAACATTAAGTAACTTAAATATTGAAAAATAGTGAAATAGAAAGTTGAAACTGAAATTTGTGAGATGTCACCAAAGCAGTGGCTGGGAAATTCTGAGTAATACACGCCTGTATTAGAAAAAATGAATAGTCTTGAATTAGTTAACTTAGCTTCCACCTTAAGACCTATAGACAGAAGAACAAATAAAATCCCGAGTAAGGAGAAAGGAAATGATTAAAATCAGAGCAGAAGCCAAGAAAATCATAAAAGAGAAAAATCAGTAGAGAAAAGGTAATGAGGCCTGGTGCGGTGGTTCACACCTGTAATCGCAGCACTCTGGGAAGCCGAGGCGGGCAGATCACGTCAACCCAGTCCTCGAAACCAGCTTGGCCAACCTGGCAAAACCCCGTCTCTACTAAACATACAAAAATTAGCCAGGCATGGTGTAGCACGCCTGTAATCCCAGCTATTCGGGTGGCTGAGGCATAAGAATCACTTGAACCCGGGAGGAGGAGGTTTCAGTGAGCCGTGATCAAGATCGTGCCATCATAATCCAGCCTATGTGACTGACTCTGTCTCAAAAATAATAATAATAATAAAATAAAAAGCTGATTCTTTGATGTGATCAATAAAATTTGTGAAATTCAGGTAGACACATTGGGAGGGAAAAAGAAATACACAAACTGATATGAAGAATGGGACAGATGACATCACTACAGTCTCTATAGATATTAAAATTATAACAAGGGATTATCAAAAATTAATTTCTGCCTATAAATTTAACAACTTAAATGAATCTCTGCCTATAAATGTAAATGAAATGGACAAATTCCTGAGTTAACCAAAGCTGTGAAAGCTCACTCAAAAAGAAACAGATAACCTGATAACCCTGTGTTTATGACATACTTTAGACCCGTAGTTAAGAGTCCTCCCACAAAGACACTTCCAGGCACACTGGCGTACTGATGATGCATATAAAACATTAAAGGGGGAATAATCCCAAGTCTACACTAATTCTTCCAGAAAATTACCAGGAGTGAATTCTGCCCAATTCATACTGTGAAGCAGTATCACTCTGATTCCAAACCAGGCAAATACATTACAAGAAAAGAGAGCTACAAATCAATATCCCGCATGATACAAATACAAAATTTCTACACAAGATACTAGCAAATAGATTTCAGCATACATAAAAGGAATAATACATAATATCCAAGTGGGTTTTATCCCAGAAATGCAAAGCAGTTTTCATATTTGAAAACCAATCGGCCTAATTCACCACATTAACAAACTTAGAAAATCCATCTGATCAACTGTATGACACAAAAATAGGATTTTATATAATCCCATACCCATTCTTAACTAAAAGAGAAAAGATAACTCTTTGCAAGCCCATAATTAAAGAGAAGTTCTTCAGTTTGATAGAAGGCATCCATGGTAGGCCCGCAGCCAACATCTTACCTAATGGCGAAAGACGGAACACTTTCCTCTTAAGATCAGGGACAAGACAAGAATATTCACTTCCATGTTTCCATCTACTGCTGTGCTGGATACTTTGACCAATTTAATTAGGGCAGATAAAGAAATGGGAGATATCCAGACTGAAAAAAATACAAGTAAAATTGCTTTTATTTAAAAACAAACCTAGATGTTTATGTAGAAAGCACTAGTAAATAAGTTAAGCAATGGTGCAGGATACATTGATACAGAGAAATCAGTTGTATTTCTATATACTAGAAAAGAACAATAAACAAATGAAATTTTTTAAAATTACCATTTATAATCATCTCAGCAAATCTGGTGTACCTTGGGATAAATTCTCCCCAAACAAAATTACAAGTCCTGTGTACTACAAATTTCAAAATAGTGCCAAGAGAAATTAAAGATCTGAAATATCATATTCACAAGTCAGATGATTCAACGGTGTCAAGATTTTAATTCTCTCCAACACCATCTACAAATACAGTGCTCTTGGGGTACAGGAAAACTTTTGGAATTAACGGATATGATTATTTTTTCACTGTAATGATGGTTTCACAAGCATGTACATGTCAGGACTTATGAAATTGTGCACTCTAAATATGTACAGCTTATTGGATGTCAATTATACTTCAACAAAACTGTGACAAAATAAGTTTTTCAAGAATGCCAATATGTGTCAATAGTTTTAAATATATTCATGTATTTTGGGGATCTATTCCATGGCTGATGGAAGGCACATGTGCTTGTTCCTTAACCATATTTTACTAAAAGAACAGTTATAAAATTTTGAATTTCATAGATAAAATTTTTAAAAAGTAATAGTATAAATATTTTTAATATCCTAAGACACAAAACTACAAATGGTCATTAATAATTAGATTAATGAATAAATTGTTCTCCCATAATATAATATTATATATCCTTGAGAATAAACAACTGACAGATAAATGAAACCATGTGAATGTATCTCAGAAACATAATGTTAAAATTAAAAAACCAGACAGAGTATATATGCTAAATGATTCTGTAATAAAGTGAACCTATAGGCAAAACTATTAAAAACATTGTTAACAAAGTAAATAAGCCTTTTTTAAAAAGACCAAAACGAACTAATAGTTTTCCATCTATTCATGCTCTTGACCCAGACTTCGTATTTTGGGACGTATTCCAGTAAAACATGACGGATGAAAGACACATTTTCTTTGTCCACTAACCATATTTTACTAAAATAGCAGATATAAAGTGTTAAAAGCATGGCAAGGGAGTGGTAACCCAAAGGATAGGAAAATTGGAGAAAAGACAACTAGAAAAATTTTGAAATCCGAGAATATGGTGATTGATTTGCCACACCAGAACGGGAGAAAGAGAAAGCAAAGTGTCCAGTGGAGGAGGCGGTCTCAGTTGCTACAGAACTTCTGGAGATCGCAGGAACTGGAGGCACTGGTAGCTCTCCAGGAAAGGATAGGGGTCCAAAGTGGCTCCCGCTGGAGGTCATGGCGCTTGCGAAGGCGAGGTCATAAGTTCAAGGCTAACCTGAGCAACCTCATAAGCTCAAACTGATTGGCAAAAAAAAAAGGGAAAGGATGGAGGGTGTGCTGCACCCATCAGATCTCCCTATCCCCATATGCAGCTGGGCGACTGACTTTCTTCCACCATAGAAATCAAGAGATGTCTCTTTGAAGAAGCTGAAACCAAGCCCCTGAGACTCTGGGCAGAGCCAAGGGTAGGATACTACGCGGAAACTTAGGTCATTCAGGGAATGTCTACATATGAAGGGACGACTCCCAAATCACTGTGTTCCCACTTGGCACTGAGAACACTGAAAGCCAGACTAATACACCCCATGTAGGACGTTGGAGAACTCCACTCTCAGGAAACTATCTCAAAAGAAAAAATAAACCAAAAACCTAATAATGAAATAGTTCAGTGAAACAGTCCAGACTCAGCACACTATAGTGAAGCCCATATAACTCAGTAAATTACATTTACACACAGAGAGAATTTCTAATCAGCTTTTTACCACCTAACTTTCAAATATTAGCAGATATCAAGAAGTCACATAACGTTAGAGAAAAGCCTCTAACAAATGAAAGAAAAGAAAAAATTGGAGACAAACAGAAAGAAGAAAAAACTTAAACTATACTTAACATCCTCAGAGATCAAAGAGGCAATCACTGAAACAGGAGAAAAAATTTCAGAGAAAAAATAAAATGAAATACAAAAAATAAACTCTCATTTAAAATATAGGATGTTGTAAATGAATTAGTCAAATGCATTCATCAAGTTTCAGAGATCTCTCAGAAAATGCAGTGGCGGGGAATAAGACACAGGAGGTACATACAATAGAATATCAATATGGGTGTCTGTTCTCACGCTGCTAGCAAAGATGAAACCAAGACTGGGTAATTTCTAAAGGAAAGAGGTTTAATTGACTCACAGTTCAGCATAGCTGGAGGGACTCAGGGAGCATACAATCAGAGCAGAAGACACAAACACATCCTTCTTCACTGGCAGCAGAAAATAGTGCAGAACGAAGTGGGGGGAGAGCCCTTTATAAAACCACCAGCTCTTGTGAGAACTCACTCATTATCACAAGAACAGCATGGAGGAACCACCCCCATGATTCAATTACTTCCCACCATGTCCTTCCCAACACGTGGGGATTATGAGAACTACAGTTCCAGGTGAGATTTGGGTGGGTACGCAGCCAAACCACATCAATGGGAAATTCAATAAATAACAAGAGCTCCAGAAAGAGAAAATAAAAAAATTGGAGAAAATGCGGTTCAAAAAGATGATTCAGTATATTTCCCAGAATTGAGATTTTAGTTTCCACATTGGAAGGACCTTCACCTTGAAACCAAACCAAGCAGTGAAATAGAAATCCAATACCAGGTCCTATAATGGTGGACTTTCAGCGTACAGGAACACGGTAATGGACAGAGTACATTTTATTGATTTGGCAAATATTTATAAGGTATTACATCAGGTACCATCAGACATATAAAAACAAACTAAAGACCATCCCCAGGCAAAAGATAAAAAAACAATAATATGGATAGGCAGAAATCTCATTATCTATAATTACGGCAATAAGACTTCAGCCACTACCTTCATATCCTGGTTTCTTTCTTCACATTTCTTTCTAAACAAAGGCCACTTTGGAATGTCTTAGCATATGTTCTCAGCAAGTGTACTGGCTAAGGACAGCAAGCCCTTTTGTATTGTGAGTCTTACACACATACACACACTCATATATACACATGTACACACAAACATGCATACAAACATACACATATTCATATACACAAGTATGTACACAAACGTACACACATTCTTACACTCACACACTTACATACTCATTCTCACACTCAACAAACACATAGTCATATACACACATGCACACAAACTTGTACACACTTCCTCACAATCACACATTTACACAAACATTGTCTCATATATACACTCGCATATGCACTTATAGACACACACAAACTTGTACCCACATACACTCACATACACTCATATCCACATAGATGCGCAGACTCATACACACATTCTCATACTCATGCATGCATTTATCATGTTTGAGTGCATGCGTGCACACACATGCACGCACACACACACACCACACACACACAGGCTTAGGTCCTTGAAAAAAATGGGTTTTGGTTGTCAGAGAAGAAGGCTTAGTTTCTTAGTTTTCCAAAATAGAAGAGGATCTGGTTTCTCATATTGAAAATGAGGTCTATAATTTTTACCCCTCTTATATTTTGCTGGACTTTTAATTGTTTATTTGGTATTTAAATAAGCCAATAGTTCCTGTTTGGTACCCTGCCTCTTTAATGTCCCTTAACCGTTTGCAATTTTTCCCTAGTGCTTCTACTACCAGCTTTTCGGCAGCCACCAAAATCAATTCTTCCCTGCTTAGGCACTGCCAACAAGTCCCCATCTGCCATCCCACTCCTCACCGCGAGAGCAATTTGATGCCCAGAGCCATCTGCAGGTGCAAGAGACACAGCTCCCAGCACCTCTAAAGTGGGACTTCACAATCTTTCTGTAGCGAAAGCCAGTGGTGGACTGAGATCTTGGCAGGCAGCTGCCTCTGGTTTCCTTTCCTGGCTGCAATCTGGTGGATGGGTGCTAGCCAGACTTAGGGGTTATTATTGCAAAACGGGCTGAAAGGAGTGTTTGAGAAGCCGGCATGCCAGCCAGGCATGGGACGCTTTACCTAGAGAGAACACACGTTGTGTTCTTGCACTACTGCCTCTGCAATCCAACTTTTCTCTAGATAGAAGGAATGGGGAGAAGAGGTCGTATCTTTCTGTTGTTGTGATTGTTATTGTCATTCCGATACTGTGGGGAGGTGACTCAAGATCCTCAGACACTGGACTGTTTTTTTCAAAACATCAATGAGACATTTACCAAGATAGCTTGTGCAGTGGACTTGAGGCTTGTACCGCCTTCAGCTTGTTTTCACAGACACGATCTCTACATTAGAGATAATGCCAAGCTACTTCTCCAGCCCATGACAACACGTTAGATGTCTTCTACGATTATGACTACTTTCAACAATCTAAATTTTACCCCTAGGCACCTGTGAAAGGCACAGCTATTACCCATAAGGTTAGCTGAAGAGTCTGTTTGTAGAGACTAGGTCCCTGGCAGCCTGTCAGTGTTTACCTGCAAGGCAGCTGTGTGCTGTGAAAAGAGGCCCTCACTTGGGCATGAGCAAAGCTGTGTTCTGCCCTGATGCACAACTTGCTTACTGATACGCCTCAGTTTCCTCAGATGCATTCCCTACCAACGAGGAGCAAGATTGCACTCACTGACCGCTAAGATTTGGATCCATCTTAAAATTCAGTGATTCTGCATTCTGAACATACTATATACCCCGAATCCTCAGCCACCAAGAGCGGGGTTTGATTTTTTTTTTAATGAATAAATATTGTATTTAAAGTATCCATACAGCATGTCCACATATGTAATTTCAGAAAAAACTGTAAATACTTTCAGCCGGATACATTTAGAATGCTTGTATTAAAACCAATTCAACAATACTCTCTGCCACTATTCCCAGAACAGCTCCATTTGACTGGGAATTGTTTAAATTTTAATCCATTTTAAGCTCTTCTCTTTCACAATTGTGCTCTTCTTAAAATGTCGCACGTGAAATACTGACTGCGACATCACTGACTCTCATTAAGTCACGTATGTCAGCAGTGCTACTGTTTCCCATTGGATGTTTTGGGGGCCGCATGATGAGTGTGTGGTGGGTTGGGGAAAATGCATTGACATGATTGTAGTTGTGATTCTGTGGATTTCCTTTTTCTCCCAGGAGTACCTGCCAGAGGCCTCCATCTCTCCCACATCAGCGTTAATACTACTTACTACTCTAGTCTTACTACTCTTATCTTTCCCTTTTTCTTTTAAAACATTTACGATAATAACAAAACTATTTTCTTAACCATGTGTGCCAACGAACTCAGGAAAAAAACAACAACTACACATTCCCTTAGTCAAACAAGCTCCTTGTCTGTAAGTTCGTCATCACCTGCTTCTGGATTCCTGGCTAGTGCCGCACTGCTATTCCCGAATTTTTATGCCGGTTGGATCCCAAACTTCACTGGCCATGGAAAGAGATCGTGGAAAAGGCGACAGCTAAGAGTAGGAGGGGAGCTTCCCGCAGGACCCTCGAGGAGGATCAAGCTTCGTCTCCCACCCGGAGTTCTCCTGAGCCTGACATCAAGCTTTCACTACTCAGTACAATGACCGGCTACACACTTTCTTAGCAGCTTTCTCTCCACCCAGTCCTTTATTGACTCAAATACGGCTAGAGACCCTGAGATCTACCCTTTTGTGATAAAAGCTACCACACCTTAAGCAACAACTATGTACAAAGCACCAAGTTATCCATTTCATATAAACTCTATCACTTAATTCTTACACAATCTTACAAATTAGGTTAGGCATTACCTTGTTTGTTTGTTTGTATGCTTGTTTGTGATAGAGTCTCACTCTGTCGCCAGGCGCCAGGCTGGAGTGCAATGGCGCGATCTCGGCTCACCACAACCTCCGCCTCCTGGGTTCAGGCAATTCTCCTGCCTCAGCCTCCCGAGTAGCTGGGATTACAGGCACGCGACACCATGCCCAACTAATTTTTGTATTTTTAGTGGAGACAGGGTTTCACCATGATCGCCAGGATGGTCTTGATCTCTCGACCTTGTGATCCACCTGCCTCGGCCTCCCAAAGTGCTGGGATTACAGGCATAAGCCACCGCGCCCGGCCACCTTGTTTGTTTTAAAACTAGGGGCACTGAGGCTCTGGGAGATTAAATAACTTGCCTAATATCCGTGGGCAATAAGAAGTTGAGCCTAGACGTGTACGCACATTACCATATTTACTGTTTAAAACATGTATGTTTAAAACTAATAACATAGTATCAGATGAGCAAAAAGGCAAAGCCTGTGCTAGGGCTTGATCAAAACCACAGCAGCCCTTCTTTTGTACAGGGAAGACTAAGCGATGGCTTCCGTGATCCTCTCATTCAGTAACTGGAAAACGGCATTTGGTAGCTTTCAGACATAAACAACCGCCTGCCCTCACTTTATTGTCCTAAATACTGCTTTTATTCACGCAAAAAGAAATGGAGAGAAGTGTGAGCCAACAGAAATATAACATGAGAAATAAGCACAGGCCATATACAGAAAACGTTCTAGCAGCTACGTTTTAAAAAGTAAAAGAAATCTGTAGTCCCAGCTACTCAGGAGGCTGAGGCAGGAGAATTGCCTGAACCCAGGAGGCGGAGGTTGCGGTGAGCCGAGATCGCGCCATTGCACTCCAGCCTGGGTAACAAGAGCGAAACTCCGTCTCAAAAAAAAAAAAAAGGAAAAGAAATCAATAAAATTAGTTTTAATAATACCTTTTATTTAACCTAATATATCCAAATATCCTTTCAATGTTAAAATTATTAAGGTAATTTTCCTCTTTCTTTTCATACTAAGGCTTTAAAAATTCAGTGCATATTTTACATCTGCAGCACATCCCATTCAGACTAGATGAACTTGAAGGGTTCATCAGCCAGCTGGGGCTGTTGACCACCATACTGGACCACAGAGGTACAGGGAAGTGGCTGGCGGGGTTGGATTTCTAGTACTCTGGATGTTTTCCTCTCAAGTTTACTACCTCAAGTTCAAAGTAGGAAACATTATGTCAGTATCAAAAAAAAAGAACAATGAAGGGGCACCACCAGTAAATCTTTCCCAGTATATCTCTACTTGCATCTGTGAACTACGTCCCATAGTGACTCTTGATCACAGGGAAGATGGGAAAGTGAAAAATTAGATTTTTCTGGGTTTTTTTTTGGAAATGGAGTTTTGCTCTTGTTTCCCCAGCTGGAGTGCAATGGCACAATCTTGGCTCATTGCAACCTCTGCCTTCTGGGTTCAAGCAATTCTCCTGCCTCAGCCTCCGGAGTCGCTGGAATTACAGGTGCCTGCCACCACACCCAACTAATCTTTTATATTTTTAGTAGAGACAGGGTCTCACCATGTTGACGAGACTGGCCTCAAACTTCTGACTTCGGATGATCCACCCACCTTGGCCTCCCAGAGTGCTGGGATTACA